ATTGGGGTCTGTCCATTCGTCTTCCTGGACTTAAAAAAAATCATTCTCCTCTGAAACTACTTGATTAAATGTAACAAACTTTACCTGAAGGTTTCTTAGAAAATCTAGTTGAAAATTTGAAATACCCATTTTTGAATTATTACTCCTGAAATGTCCAATTTTAGCAAATTTTCTGCAGTTTTTGGTTTTGATCATGAAAACTATTATGAATAGAGAGAATCTTAAAATCATAAACATGACCAGAATAATAAGATCTACAGATTAGTATACATGGCGAAAATCACCAATTGAACCCTTACAGGAGTTATTGCCCTTCACAGATGATTTTTATTCAATTATTGCATACTGCTAAAAGTATAGCAGATAAAGATAAAATTTATATAGAAAAAAATATTAGCAAATTAAGATTTGAAAATAAATAAACATAACTGAAATCTTCAATAGATCCCTTATGTAAGTTTTTACTTTTGACAGACGTTTTTTGGCCATTTTTTGGCAGAAACTATAATATATAGAGAGAGCAACTGTAAATCATACCTGCCAATTTTCACGATTACAATGGGATTTTCTCCATACAAGGTGTTGACCTGAATTTTGAATTTCTTTATCATATAAACTAAACACCTCAAAACAGGCATTCAAATGAGTTAAAAGGGTATTAAAGCACACACGTACTCATTAAAACAATATAGCAGTAGATTCAAAACACTTATGCAATATAAGACAAACCATAAGGTCCTCTTGAGCTTAAAATCCCCCATGGAGGTTTTGAAAAATTGGCAGGTATGACTGTAAATAGCTTAAGTGTTCAGCAGAAATTAGGCCTACAAATGAGTCAACATGGCTTAAATGGTCAACAGTCTTCATGACAAAGAAGTAGTCTAAAGCCCGAGGCTTGTAAACTTTCTGGTGGGCCTGTAAAATTTAGTCCTACAGGCCAATAGAATTTATACAAAAAAATCTGAAAAATATGGTGTGGGCCTGTGGTCCAAAAAGTTGACTGTGAAGACTGCATGAATGTGAAAGTCATCAATTGAACATAATCAGCTTAATAGTATGGAATGTTTTATATTTGGTCAGGAGTCTCTGGACCTTTATAAAAATGAGCTGTGCCATGTAAGCGATTTTCATGTCAGCAATGCAATTACTTTTGCTTTCATCTGGCCTAAATGGTCATAATAAGCATTTGCCATCACTTTGGGTCCGCCATCTTCAATTGCCCCCTAAACAAAACAAAAATCTTTTTTAAATTACTGAACCCCTTCAAAACCCAAACTTCATATGATTGATCCTTTGGTATATTTAGACTTTAACAGATTGACAGAAATTGTAAACAGCAAAAATTGTCAGCAATTTAAAGTTTACAAAAATTATATAGGAGTTATTACCCTTAAATGAAATTTTATTTTAACAGATTGTTGCATTTTTTACTTTTATATTGAAAATTATATATATAGACAGAAAACTTTAAATGGAAATATTGATCAGCAATACAAGATCTGTAAAAAAGATAATGGAAAATTTTGTTTATGATTTTTTTTGTCCTCATTTTTATGTTAATATCAATATGTTTTACAAGATTTGATGCAGGCTCCCTTCAGACTCTAGTTATTACTTAACATTGAGTTATTCATTACATATTTCTCAGCTCCGGTATTATGGAATGATTTGATGCTTAGCCTGAAGCTTGATAATGATGTTGCTTGGGTCTACAAAAAAGTAAAATAACAAAAATACCAAACTACGAGGAAAACTCAAAATGAAAAGTCCTTTATCAAATGGCAAAATCAAAATCTCAAACACATCTAATAAATGGAAAACAACTGTCATATTCCTGACTTGGTACAGGCATTTCCAATATGTAGAAAATGGTAGATGAAACCTGGTTTTATAGCTAGCTAAACCTCTCACTTGTATGACAGTCGCATATAATTCTATTATATTGACAACAATGTCTGAGCAAAACAAACAGACATAATAGGTAAAAATGTAAAAAATTGGGATACAGCAGTCAACATTGCTAGTTCTAGTATGAAATATTTTTTAGCTGTTTCTAGAAACATCAAATACTGTGATTTAAATACATATAATATTATAATAGTTTATATCAAAGGGTTCAGTGGTATTAAATTTTTATACTCAGAATTGGTTATTCTTTGTTTGGGTTTTTTTTTTTGCATTAGAGTTACCTCCCTTACAATGGTTTTGTTATAAAGAAATGTTGTATTCTCTAGTGGTGATTAGCTGTCAATTTATTTTTAGAAGTTACTATTAAATGCTGATGAAGGAATTTTATTTTAAGATATTACTACAAAATGTTGCTGATGAAGGTTTTTTTTAAATTTTAGCCATGATTATGATGTCATTTTCTATTTAATACTTTTATGATGTATTTAAAGGGATGGTTATAATTGGCTTTGGGGTGTTATGGCTCAATCTGTTTAGGAATTAGAGGCAAAAAAGGGGGGAAAACAAGGGTTTCCTGGTTAATGGACAATTACTTTAGCTTTGTTTCTTTATGTTGGTACTTTTTGTTATTTGTTTGCTAGTTCTAGTATGAAATATTTTTTAGCTGTTTCTAGAAACATCAAATACTGTGATTTAAATACAATTAATATTATAATAGTGTATATCAAAGGGTTCAGTGGTATTAAATTTGTATACTCAGAATTGGTTATTCTTTGTTTGGGTTTTTTTTTTGCATTAGAGTTACCTCCCTTACAATGGTTTTGTTATAAAGAAATGTTGTATTCTCTAGAGGTGATTAGCTGTCAATTTATTTTTAGAAGTTACTCTTAAATGCTGATGAAGGAATTTTATTTTAAGATATTACTACAAAATGTTGCTGATGAAGGTTTTTTTAATTTTAGCCATGATTATGATGTCATTTTCTATCTAATACTGTAACCTTATCCAAGCATCATTTATGATGTGAAGGATAAGGTGCATTATATGAAGAAGCCTAAGGGCTTCGAGGGTTAATAATTGAACCTTTACTTTATGTGAAGGTCGCACGCCTTTCTTCACAGCTCGCTGGTTTTTAAATTGAACAGTACTATATAAGTGGAGGTACACCTGTAAGCGTCCTCTTTTTGTAGATAGGCTCATAGCCTTGGAAATCATGTAACATTTATTGCCAATAAAAAAGGGAGGGAATCTTTATTTAAATTGCATAAAAAATATAACCTGTTGCCCTTCTGGTACATGATAAATAAAGGGAGGGAACTTATTAACCCTCGAAGCCCTTAGGCTTCTTCATATAATGCACCTTATCCTTCACATCATAAATGATGCTTGGATAAGGTTACATTATATTTCACAATCCCGGGCTTTGCTCAGGTTAATAATTGAACTCTTTATAGCCGCAATAAATGCAAAAAAAATAAGAGATATATGACCAATTAACCATACCTTTAACATAAGCTATTGCTGTCTCATTGACATATATAACTCTAATACCTGTCATGAACAAACATCTCTATCATTTTCTTAAATAAATATACTAGTGTTTTTTAAATATTTTAATATCCCACAATTATACAACAAAATTGCATAAAATACTATGAAGTTCTAACTATCAAAATGTTCAGTTCTATCGCTATTCCACAAACACAGTATAAGCATTAACGGATAAATGTTCAAGTTCCTCATCAACACATTACTAGAATATCCATCTGTTTAAAGTCTATTAGTTCCTCAAACCGACATATCCAACGGTATCTCAAACATCAACAATACTTCCAATAAAAATTCCATACATGTTTTGTAATCTACATGTAAATAAGCTGATAGAATATCTGACGACTGTATCTGGTTCCTCCAGTTCCTGTCAACCTGTACTGTCAGACTGCAAATTAGAATTAAATACTGAGTTCACATAGTGAGAATTATTTTTCTTTTTCTCAACATTTTTATAATAAAATTTTTTGAATGTTTGAGCTGATGCCCAGTTTGCTGTTTTGAGTATATCATTTAACGACATACCTGCATTAAGAGCAGCACTCGAAGATGCTGATCTATATGAATGAGCTTTGAATTTAGAAATATCTATACCAGAATTAATTAAAACAACCTTAAGCCATCTGGCTATTGAACAGCTGGTAACTGCTTTCAAAGTTTTAAAAGATACAAACAATTTGTTACTCTTTCTAACATTTTGTGTTCTTAAAATATAATGTTTTAAAGTTTTTAGTGGACAAATTTCTGGTTTACAGAAAGATGCAACTGTAATTTCTTGATTTAAATTTTTTGGTCTGCTTGTTTTTAGCAAAGTGCCAATCTTAAAGACAATTGAATTATCTGAACAATATGCTAGTTTCAAATTTAGACTGCTAAGTGTTTGTGATCTCTGTGCTGTTGCTAGAGCAACCAAAGCTACACTTTTCAGAGTGACCATCTTTAATGACAGATCATTAAGTGGATATAAAGATCCTAAATAATTTAATACTTGGCCTACATCCCATGTAAAAATGTATCTTGCAACTGGAGGTCTCATGTTGAAAATTCCTTTAAGGAATCTTTTAATGAAATAATTGTTATCAAAATTCTTGTTCCCTATTATTGTCAGAGTCTGACATATAGCTGATTTATGGGAACAGACACAACTGTAAGACCTCCCATTATGAAATAGAATGGACAAATAATGCAAAAACTGTTTTACAGTTGGTTTAAATGGATTAATCTGTTTTCGATTACACCACAATAACCATTTTCTCCAAGAGTATTCATACTGAATGTTTGTAGATTTTCTCCAAGATTTGGATACAATTTTTGTTGTTTTTCCCGGCTATGGAGATATCTCCGGATACCAGACAAGCGATAAGGAATAATTTTCTTTTGTTCATTTGGTGTTTTTGTTGGTTGTGAGCTAAAGTTAGCAAATCTGAACACTGTGGCAATTTGATTGGCGAAGCAATCAACAATTTTAATAGCTTTGGAAACCATACTTGTGTTGTCCACAGTGGTATAATCAGTATAACTTTTCTTACCTGATCGTCTTAGATCTTCATCAACACCTTGCTGATCTGACTGAAAGGAGGAAAAATATATGGTTTTAAATTTTGCCATGAAAAAGAAAATGCATCAGTTGCCCAGGCTTCTGGGTCTGGATACCAACTTACATATTTTCCCAACTGTTTATTCAACCTAGAGGCAAATAGATCTACATCTGGGATGAAAAAATGTCCTATTACTTGACAAAAAATTGACTCTTTCAACTTCCATTCTGATGTATCTTTAAAACATCTTGATAAATTATCTGGAATTAAATTTTCACTACCAGGAATATGAACTGCTGAAATATATACATTATTTCTGATACACCAAAACCAAATTTGTTTTGAAATAACTAACAGGGGTATAACTGAACCGCCCTGATTGTTAATGTAACTGACTGCTGTGGAACTATCTGTTCTTACTCTAACATGAGCATCCTTAATATGGTTACACAAAGAAATTAAACCAAAATATATAGCTTTTAGTTCTAAGACATTGATATGCAAATTCTGTTCGTCTAAATTCCAACGACCTTGTGTTGAACATGAAGTTTTGTCAAGGAAGGCACCCCAGCCTTTCATCGAGGAATCTGTATGTAAAGAATGACTAGGGGGATCCTCCCTTATCAATTTTCCATTCTCAGAATTAACATTTGCAAGCCACCAACAAATTTCAGATCTACTTTCTTCAGAAATGATCATATTTGCATTGTAGTTCTTATTTGATTTTATAAGAGCACAAGTTTTATCAATATCTAAGTATCTATGGAAAAGATGAGCATGCGTAACTGCATATCGAGCAGATGAATACAAACCAACTAATTGTGATACATTTCTTATCAATATATTCTGAGGCTTTAAAACATTATTTGAAATTTCAATAATTTTCTGTATTTTATCTTCAGGTTAAGGAAAACTCTAAACAAAACTGAGTCTATTATGTATCCCAAAAATGTAATCCTCTGTGATGGGATAAATACAGATTTTTCCATATTTATATTAAAACCAACTGACTGAATGAATTGTTGGACTTTCTTTGTGTTAATAACACTTGTAGATAATGCATTGGCTTTATGAGAAATAAAGAGATTTTAGAAAAACTTTCAGCTTGTAATAAAGAGTCGTCAATATAAAAGTATGAATCTATTCCTATACTTCGAATGTGGGAAAATATGACCTTCAAAATTTTTGTGAAAACTCTGGGAGCAGATGCTAATCCAAAAGGTAAACACTGAAAAGCATATAATTTACCATCCCAAACAAATTTTAAAAATTTTCTGTCTGATTCCTTAATTGGAACTGAAAAATATGCATCAGTCAAATCAAGGGATGTAAAAAAGTTCCCTTTTTGTATTCCTTTCAAGATTAAATCTAAATTCTCTTGTTTGAAATGATGATAAGTGACAAATTCATTTAATTGTCTAAGGTTAATGACAGGACGAAATTTTCCACTTTTCTTTTTTACCAAAAACAAATTTGAAATAAATTCACCATCTTCATGACAGACTTCTTTTATTGCACCTTTTGATAACAATTCTGAAACTTCTTCCTGAATTAAATTAATTTCAGTATCATTGAACTTAATAGGTGTAGGAATTTTTCCTTGAAAAGGCTTTTTATCAAACTCAATTTTATGCCCCATCACAGTTGACAAAACCCATTTGTCATGTGTTAAAGTTTTCCATTTAGAAATAAATTTTTTAAGTATACCAGCAGTTTTTATTTTTCTACTGCTTACCTTTAATACTTGTTGAATTTTTTCTGGCCGTAGCCTCTTCCTTGGCCTCTGTTTGAGTATGGAACCCTTTGATTTCCATGTCCTCTGGAGTATCCTCGTCTCCCTAAAAAACGACCTTGTGACTGATTGTAAGGGTATCGGCCTCTGCCACCTCTGTAACTATAACTTCTCCCTGAGATGTTTTTGTTTATCTTATTCACTTCATTAATTTGATTTAACTTCTTTCCAATTTCATCACCAAAAAGATTGGTACCAATTTCTTCATTCTTGTTACACAACTGGTGGAATTTTCTGTCTATGTATGGTTTGAGCATTAGCTTCCTTTTAACCGACAACTCAAAATGAGTATTGCAAAGAACAGTCATAGCTTTAGACACAGCTTCTCTCATCAACTTTATGTCAGGTTTTTTAGTTTTCAGAATACCTGCCAGAGTTATCACAGGGATCATCCCGTATGCAAGAAGTCTCTGAAGATTCTGGAGACCTAAATCAGATGATTTTGTCTTGCGGTCTAAAAATTGCCATATTTCTTGGTTAACTGGCGGCACAACAAGGCTCTTGCAATTTGAGGGCACCTTCAGTTCATTGACCATTGACGAAACATCTGTTTTCTTTTTACAAATATTTTCACAGACTTTAGAGATGGATTCACATACCTCTTCACCAAATCTTTCATCGCCTTCGAAAATACGGGGCAATTCATAATCAAAATCATTATTCTCATCTGAAGAGACTTCACTCTGATCATTACAGTTACCATCATCACTAAAGATAGAAAAGTTCCCATTCTCAATGTTATTGTTACATGTATCATAAACAGGATAATCAGACTCTTCTTCTTGGTCAGAATACTGATTATTGTGAATATTCTCAGTCCTAGCTGTCTCATTATTTTGTCTAGTTCTTTGCAGACTATTGTCTCTCTGTGTGTTCCCAGTAAGGGTGGACCTCAAAGTATCTGTCAACCCTTGAAATAATGATTTTATCAGTTCTGTATTGTCAGTTTTTGATTTTTTAGCCTTTGGTTTAGTAGTTTTTGTTTGTACTTTTGGTTTGGCTTTCTTTTTCATAGGGCTTACTGTCACTCTACTACCCGAGGGTATTTCAACTGATTCGGAAGTTTTACGTTTAAGGGCCTTGCCCTTTCCGCTATTCTTTACACTTTTTCCTTTTCTAGAGGTATTCTTCTCAGGAGACTTGACCGGTGCTTGTGTAGCGGCCATTTGCATTTCGCGTGTAACTTCCGGTTCTTCCGGAATGTGCACAGTTTCAGCTCCGCTTTTCTGTGGGGTCGAAAACCCAGAAAAAGAAGCATCTATTTCTTCTTCAGATGCGAAAAGCTTTAAAACTTGCTCATCATTAAGTTCATCATCAAAATTATCGTGGTCCGAGTCGGACTCACTGTCACTCAAACTATGACAACGTGACATTATTCAGTGTCGGATTTTTATATCTCGACCAAATTACTTTTTATCAATACCGAGTCGGTAAATTAAAGTTTAAGTAAATAATCTTAACAGAGTCTGTTAGATCTTTACAGGCGTGCTGCCTTTAAAATAAAGAGGACGCTTACAGGTGTACCTCCACTTATATAGTACTGGTCAATTTAAAAACCAGCGAGCTGTGAAGAAAGGCGTGCGACCTTCACATAAAGTAAAGGTTCAATTATTAACCCGAGCAAAGCCCGGGATTGTGAAATATAATTTTATGATGTATTTAAATGGGTTTTCATGGTTGCAAAGTCCTAGCTGTCAATGTATTTTTAGAAGTAACTATTAAATGCTGATGAAGGAATTTTATTTTTAGATATTACTATTAAATGTTGCTGATGAAGATTTTTTCACAATTTATTTTGCTAATTCTTTGTACATAGTCTGAAAACAGATTTACTAAGTATTGCGCAACAGCACAGTGTATTGCACAACAGCAAGAAATCTTCAATTGAATATAAATTCATATCATACAACCAATTTTTAAAGTTCTTTGACTACATTTATACTGTGTCAGAAACCTATAATGTGTCAAATATTTAATTACAATCCAAATTCAGACCTGTATCAAGCTTGAATATTGTGTCCATTTTTGCCCCAACTGTTCAGGGTTGGACCTCTGCGGTCATATCAAGCGAAGCAGTTTATTTTTACTGCCAAGAAAAATGTTTTGTATAGGAAAGAAAATATTCACTAGATGTGTAGGACCTGTGTGAACTCCATTTTACATTAACTTGCTAATGTTTGGCAAAGGCTCAGTCGGACTATAGCCAGCCCCCACTATCCACTTGGGTTTGTACAAACGCAAGTGGATAATGGGGGCTGGCTGAAGTCAGACTGGCAAAGGCGATATATATTTCTTTTTTTTTTTTTTTTTTGAATAAACTGCCATAACTTAATCCTTACTTTTTACAAGAATGAATTTATTAACTTTATTTTTCTGTCTGACACTTAAATTTCCATTCACACCCTGTGTGTCTGTTCACGGTTTGTAAATTTTTGCTTTATTCTTAAAAAAAAGTGTTGCTAGAAAGAAAACAAAAACAATGTAAATTAAAACAGAAATTACTAATCTTTTAGCAAATAAAATTGCGTCATATTCTTTTTAAAGGTCGACTTCGTATTTCATGACATTTTTCTTCTGGAAATGTTAAAGATTTATTTTTTTTTATTAACTTTCAACATACTGCTGGTAAGTGTATTCAAATACAGTATATACATATGTCATATTACGAATAATATTAACAATATGTATAAATAACAATAGGTGACGTCAGAAGTTTCATGTTTACAAAATATCTTTACAATAAACTTTCTTAATTTAAAAAAGACATGTATATACATTCAGGGAAAGGGGGACAGGACTCTAGTTACGACAATTGGAACATATCCGCTATCATCTGTGAAATGGGTATTCCATAACGGTCAACCAACTCGTGATGGTGTCCACAAAATTTACGAAAAGGATGACTTCAATTTCACCACTTGGAACTCTTGGTTTAATAGCTTCCTTGTGAGCAGCCAACTCTCTATTAAGGAAATCATGATAGGAAATACAAGCCCTGGAATATCCTATCAACTGGGAGATATATACTCAGTATGCAGGAGCTGCTGGAGTGTTGCTACATAGAAATGGAAATTTCACAATTGGGAAGCTGTTATCATCCCTTTTGTCGTAAAGTTTTGTTTTCAATCTGCCCTCATTGTCAATTTCTAAATGTAAGTTAAGATATGAGGCAGACTTAACTGTATCTGTTGGTTCCCATTGACCATTTTGTTGACTCATCTGGCCCCCATAAAATCATTTTTTATACAGGAAAAACGATGATTTACAAGTATTTTTAACCTAAAAAAGTTACATTAAATCGAAGAGACCTAGAAAAATCGTCATTATACAATTGTACGTGTTTATCTGTTAATTTATATTTATATTTATGTTTATATTATAGTGTTGGCAGTCTTCAGAGGTCATCTCGATGGATAATTAGATGACATCTAGTCTATAACATGTATAATATGCATGAAATGTTGATATTACATTATAGTAAATCAATGCATTGCTTATGGTTCCGTTTTGACTTTTTGTAGTTGGATAGTCTTTTTAGTAATCAAATATGAGAATATGGGTCAAATTGATGAACATGAATTTGACAGCTAATGCCCCTTTAATATACTGCTAACATACCAGTATAAAACAGACTAAGCATTGTAAATTTATTTAAACATAGTGATGAAGTAGTTCACCTCATACTGCACATAGCTTTTCTACCTTGTTCTGCACAATGTGTCTGTGTATTAAGAAATTTACAATTATATGGTAATAATACACCTAGATAACAAAATTGTTCCACTGTCTGTTCATCTCATGAAATTTTTGGTACAGTTTTCTTAGGAACTGCAAATGAGAACTTCCTGAGTTTTTGTATCAAGCTCTATGTGAGCATATTTGTATTTCCTTCATTGTGTTTTACAAAATTGAGGCCGTTAGTTTTCTTGTTTTCTTGTTTTACCTTTGTCATTTCAGGGCCTTTTATAGCTGACTATGCAGGCGGTATGGGTTTTGCTCATTGTTGAAGGCTGTAGGGTGACCTATAGTTGTTATTTGGTCTATGGTGGTCTCATTGGCAATTACACCACATCTTTTTATTTTTATATGCTATATACTTTGTATTTCACATTTACAGTTTATTATGAAATTTTACACATAATGGCCATGTATGAAATATTTTGTCGATTTTTCTTGGGAACTACAAATTGGAGCTTCCTGTTATCAGGCTTCATGTGAACATGCTATTCTGTGTGTAAATTTTTACAATCATCGCATATCAACTTCATGTTTACCGAGTACATATATCTTCTTGCACAAAATTACTGTTTAGAAAATCTTCTTCACTTTTTTCTCAGAAATTATGTAATCAGAGCACCCTGAAGTTTGATATCAATATTTTTATAAGCATGCAAATTACCATGTGATGCCTTTTCACATCCATTGCTCTTCCTATTTACTGAACACTTATAGTGGGGTATGGGAAGTGAGCAATAATTAACAATTGTTTTTACTTCACTGTGACGGCTAAATCATTTGCATATATTGTATTATGATGATTTCAAGATAATTTTTCAGAAATGGTGATGCTATGACTGTTTACTTCTCAAAGATTAATTTCAGCTACTTAACTTAACTTAGGTACAACCAGGTAAGCTAAAAAGTTTATTCTCTAGTTTTAATAATGTGTCCAACTATCCCTTATAAATAAGAAGATGTGATATGTCAGTGCCAATGAGACAACTCTCCATCCAAGCCACAATGTATAAAAAGTTATCAAAGTCAAAACACCTATCAACCACACCAGCAAACGACAACCACTGAACAACAGGCTTCTGACTTAGGACAGGTGCATAAAAATACAGATGTTTAAACGTTTTAACAGGTGCCATTCTTACATATTTGAGAAGAATGATATAGATATGGGCTCCATATGTCTGAAGTCAGTCTGTCACCCTTGTTGGTTGAGTCTAAATTGACATAATTTCAATATTTATATTATCCCCCAAGACCATATTTCATGACTTTGTATAATAAATCTTGTCCCCATCTATGAAGTAATGTCCCAAGAAGGACAAATTTCAATATGAAATTTTGTCAATATACAGATGCTTAAATTAATACGGGTATACTGTTTAATTATAACTCAATGCATCATTTTATAAAATACACATGTATGTACAATGCCCTTTGGCATTTATGTTGTTAAAACTACCATATATCGTTATTGACCTGCTGACCGGAAAAAAAAAATTGTTCACAAAACGCTATTAGAGAGTACTGTATGTATGCATAAATTTTTCGTGTAATTGATTTCGGCGGTTTTCAATTATCTGCTAAAATAACCGAAAATAAACACCCTGCAAAAATAACCTGCTATCTGGTAATACCTTTAATGATGACTTTTATCCATTCATGCCTTTTTGGCGAAAACTTGATGGATAAAGAAAAATTGTTAAAAAACTAAAAAGATGAGCAAGACAAGATTTTATACTATTAGGTAAAATAGACAAAATTGTCAGTTGACTCCTTGAAGGAGTTATTGCCCTTAAATGAAGATTTTTTTTTATCCTTTTTTCATTTAGGGCAATAATTACTATAAAATAATGTTTGTCTCATGTTGGCTTCAGTCCAATTAAAATGACAGAATAATACAGTAGAAAAAATAATTTAATTGAATTTTGAAGTATTTTGTGAAGCTTACTTAATTAGAATATTTCATGTACTGATTAATGAAGTTGTTCAAAGGCATAGTGCCTGAGTGGCTTCTAAAAGATATTGACCATGTTTCCCAGATAGTAATTGTACAAACATGTTACACATTAGCATCTGAGTTTGTTTAACATCCATTATAGACTTTTCCCAATGTTTATTAATTTAATGGGGTTTTTAACACAAGTTTGCAGTTAATCTGCCATTTTGTTTTCAGTGATGATCATTTGTTTACTTCAGTTAAACACAAGATGACTGCATGCCTGTCCACACAAGATGACTGCATGTCTGTCTATTAATAAACAACAAAAATAAAAATAAACTTAAAAGTGTTTTTGAGCAAAAACGTGTATCTGGAGGCCTTGATGACCAATTCTGGCCCAAAATAAGATGAAAAAACATCCAAATTGAGGCTAAAACTGGAAAAATTTGATTTCTACCACCATGTGTCTTAACACTTACCATGCTGAATTGTTTTCAGAAAATGTCTAATTTTCGTTTATTTGCAAAAATATGCAAATTATATGCAAATGAACTTTAGCCTGCTGCTGAAGCATATTGATTCCTTTAAATCTAAGGTAGGGGATCACAGTGCCGTGTGGTTGGGGTGAGTGGGTGGGAATTTGCCCCAAAGTTGGTCATCAGGTGCAAAAAGAGTCAATTTTGACGATTTTCCGTCCTATTTCTTCACCCCGAAGACCGAGAGATGCTGATATATGTATCTAGCTGTACTCTGCATGTAGAGTGGACCCCAGTGAACACATTAACCCCAACAGTTCTTAGGTAGGAGTGAAAACTGATCTTGGTACAGCAGTCTAAAGAAGGTCATTAGCACAAAAAATACGGAATTTCCTGATTTTTTCCGATTTTTTACTTCAACTGGACCTGCAACCAGAAGCAGTCGTTTCCTATGCGTATTTCAATAATAATTACG